TGGGGGCTATGAAATCCCATCATGGCGCCACGCTGCACAGCCTGGTGATCTAGTGTGCCTCACAGGGCTGCTTGGAGGTGGCTGTGCCAGTCTGCAAGCAGGCACTTGAAGACCTAGAAAGGATATTGGGCCATGACCACCCCGATGTGGCCACCATACTGAACATCTTGGCTCTGGACTATTGGGACTAGAACAAGTACAAGGAGGCTGCCCACCTGCTCAGTGATGCTCCTGGCCATCCACGAGAAGACACTGGGCAAGGACCATGTGGCTGTGGCTGCAGCATTAAACAACCTGGCATTTCTGTATGGCAAGTGGGGCAAGTACGAGGAGCCCGAGACTCTGTGCAGGCGGGCACTGGAGATCCGAGAGAAGGTCCTGGGCAAGTTTCATCCAGATGTGGCGAAGCAGCTGAGCAATCTGGCACTGCTATGCCAGAAACAGGGCGAAGCTGAGGAAGTAGAATACTGCCGGTGGCACTGGAAATGTACACCACAAATTTTGAGCCTGATGATCCCGATGTGGCCAAGAGCGAGAACAACCTGGCTGGCCTCCTGCTATTGGAAACACGGCAGGTACCAGGATACAGAGACCCTGTACACGGAGACCCTCACCTAAGCTCCTGAGAAGTCTGACTCTGTCAATGGGGTCAACAAGCCCATGTGGATGCACACAGGGGAATGGGAGAAGAGCAAGGAGAAGTGCCAGAATAGCCCCCGCTGTGGACAATATGGCAGCTGGTACAAGGTCTACTTTACTCCCCCCTTGTCATCTCAGGCTGAGCCCTGAAGGCTGGGCCTGCCCCTTATTTATTTCTTCCAGCAGGGCCCCCTCTTCCCTAGGTTGAGGGCCAGTGAAAGAGGCTGGCTGGGGTCTTCTAGATAGAGACTCAGTGGCTGGCTATCCCTGACCTCCAGAGCCTAAGAACATTAAGCATCAGCCTTTGCGTCAGCATCCCTGGCCATTGCTTCTGCATATGGAGAAATAAGGTATTGGCTGCGCGCCTCCCCTCAGACCACAACGGTACTGTCCAGGCCTCCAGTCCCCCCGCCTGTCTTTAGTGGTACCGCCCAGCTCTTAATCCCACTCCGTGTGGTGGTATCTCCCGGGCTCTACTAGACGTCTTGGGCTTCCAAAGAAGGTTCACTGGGTGTTGTTGCGCTGCTCTGGGACTCAGAAGGGTGCGTGCTGTTCCGCCATTGCCCCTTGCCCCAGGACAGACAGCCCTCCCCTTTCCCAAAAGAGGAGGTGTCCTCCTCCAGCTTTAGGATCTGGCTTCTTAAAGCAAGTGCTGTTTCTCCTTCTGGAGCCACAGCCTGCTTGCCGGCGTCAGCCTCTGCCGCGTCCCTGCTGGCTCCTTTCCCAGCCACTGTTTCACCTGCCCCAGGTACCACGGCTGAGCCCGCAGCTTCAGCTTCTTCGACTGACTCTACCGCCCCTCAGGAGGCTCCGTCAGCCTTCCCAAGAGCAACCAACGGAGTGAGAATGGCACGATGCTCCCCTCGCAGGGTGTCCAGCTCCTGGATGACGGCTTTGGTGCCCAGCCTGCTCTCATCCTGGGTCAGCTTCTCCTCTACAGAAGCGCCTTTCTGGAGTGTAGACTGGTACAGCCACTATGGAAGACAGCGTAGAGGTGCCTCAAAAATTAAGCAGAAGCTACAATACCACATGACCCAGCAATCTCACTTCTGGGTATCTACCTGAAAGACTCCAAATTATTTGCAAAGATACATGCACCCCTATGTTCATTGCAACCAAGACATGGAGACAACCAAAGTGTCCTTCCAAAGAAGATTGGATACGGAAGATGTGGAATACTACTCAGCTATAAGAAAAGATGGAATACTGTCATTGCAACAACATGGATGGACCTTGAGAATATTATGCTAAGCAAAATAAGTCAATCAGAAAAAGCCAAGAACCATATGATTTCATTCATATATGGGATATACAACTGAAACTCATAGACACAGACAACAGTATGGTGGTTACCAGCTGGAAGGGGGCATAGTATGGTGAGGTATGATTTGACTTTGAGTGGTGGGCACACAATGCAAAGTGCAGGACGTGTGGCTTACAGATATACAATTGAGACCTATGTGATCTATTGGCCAATGTCACTGCAATAAATTTAGTGGGAAAAAAGCTATACATTAAAGAAAGAAGAAGTCTGAGAAATGTTGGAGAGAGAGAGGACACATGGAAAAAGGGAATGTACAGTTCAAATGTTAAATTCTGGGTGATTGCTGGGGAGAGAGAGAGGAGGCGATAGAGGAAGTTAAAGGGGACAAATGTTGATGGAAGGAGATTTGACAGGGTGGTGAACACACAGTGCAGTGTGCAGGTGATGTGTTGTGGAATTGTGCACCGGAAATCTGCATAATTTTGTTAACCAGTGTCACCCCTATAAATGCAATAAAAAGAAAGATAAAATTTTAAATTCTGGGTTGTAAGGTAGATTTTGTCAACTATTCTCAGAAAAGTGTGTGTGTGTGTGTGTGTGTGTGTGTGTGTTTATTGTATGTATGTTGGCAGTGAAAGTAGGGAAGGGAGCTCATGCGATGTTTATAGACAGTACCATTTGTGTATGTCCAAGCTCTTAGGAATATGTCAGTCTCCCAGAGAAACTTAAAATTGGAGTGTTTATGAGGGATCCCCCACTTTTAAATTAGATATGCAGTAAGATTGTGATTATATAAGAAGGATAGCAGAACTCTGATTTGTGTCCAACGTTTAAATATTTGAGAACTAATTACAAAAATTTGAAAACATTGAACATACCACAAACATGTCTGTGGACCCCATGTAACTGTGAACTACCTGTCTGCAGCCTTGGCCTAAGAGAATTGTCCTTCATGCCCAAGTCTTTGGTCTGGTAGCATCCGTGCATACTAAGCTTCTCAGGTACCCATAGGAAGAAAGTGTTAAGTGAATCATTCCCAGGAGGGGTAAAGGCCTACTAAACGAAGAGTCTTTGAATCCATGGGCTGGAACGACTTCCCTTCCCTTCCGTTTTCCCACTTAGTCTTGCTGTCTTAGTCCTTGATGGCTGGGTCTCTGCTTGGACATCACTTTTGCCAAGAAGTTCCAGGCTGATGAGATGAAACAGGGAAGCCCCTTGGACTTTTGCTACCACCCCTCCAATGGGTTATAACTTGATGACATCTGTTCCTTGTGAATTTTGTGAGTGTGACTCAGTCCCTGAGATTCAGGTCACCTCTGGGAACACTGGGCAGGGGGGTGGGGGGGGGGGGAGAAAGAAAGAAACAAAACAAGAAGAAAAAGAAAAGAGAAGCATTTCTGGGCTTGCCATGCTAAGGAACATTGGTGTACATATCCTGCAAAATCCTGTCAGAGTTTCCATTTGACCACTATTTTGACGTTTCTCGTGATGTTGTATAGCTCTGGAGATGGAAATTACAGAAATAAATTAGTGGATTTGGTGGGGTAGCTTAGTTCACCCTACATGGGTGGGTACGGGAGGGGGCTGTTTGTTTCCGTTTTTAGAATGGAGCGGTCCTATGTTTGGTCACTTGCTCACATGGTGTCATGTAACTCACTGGGGACTTCTGTGTATGTGTGTGGGGTGGGGGCTGCGGTCCAACGCAAAGGGCTCTGGAGGGCCTCCTGGGCTGAGTACCCTTAGGATGGGCTGGGCTTAAATTCAGCCACTTCGTAGGCTGTAAATTCAGCCACCTGAGCGGAACAATGGGAAGGTCATCTGTTGTTTCTACCCTCCTGTAAAATTGAAGTGGGTAAATCATAGTTTTATAGAAAAGATAAAATAGGATAAAATAGAGACCTTTGTATTTCAAGTGACAATTTTCTGAACAATTGAGAGACCTTTGCATGTTTCTCATTTTAAAAGGGAAAACCAGTGCAATTGGTGTTAGGGAGTGGGAAGAGCAGAACTCTGTCCAGCAGCCCTCACTAGTATGAGCCAAGCTACTGGGCTAAGCACCTTTCAAATATTAGCCCCTTGGATGCTTAAAACAATATTGTACATAGGTGTTATTCTTATTTTATAGATAAGGACTTCTCAAGTTCACTCAATTTGTAAATAGAGGAGATGGTATCTTAACTCAGGTTGTCTAATTTGCCATCTCTTGTTCACTGAGAAACTGCTGGATACGGCTGTGTCCGCCTGTGCCCACCTGCCATTGACATCGTGGCTCTGCCCCTGCTACGAAAGCTGGGATCTGTACTCCAGGCCAGCCCGGCCCTTGTGGGACCAGAGCAAGGCCTTGCTCTGTGCAGAACCGGGAGAATGCCCAGCTTCCCCACTGTGTCTTCCTGTGTCACTTAGGGCTCTAAGGCATGTTGCATGTGCTTCTCCTGAAAATAGGGCCTCGGGCCTCGGGTGGGACTAGAGACAGACATTTTTCTGCCTTCTCCATTTTCCCATCTCTCTGATACAGCAGAGACTGTGGGTTGGTCTGTTTATTGAAAATGCCAGTTGAAATAGGGAATTATAAAGAATGAAATAAGTGTTTGTGAACATTTTAAGACAGATAAACATACATTCTTTACCACTCTTACAATGTAAAAGGCCCTTTCTTTGAGTAGAGGACACAAATCAAAGTTCTGCTAGCCTTATGTAATCACAACCTTAACGCAAATCTGTGGGTTCTGTTTCATTTCAAGAAGCCATATATGTAAAATGGTGGCTGTTTAAAGATTTTTTTTTTCCCCTGATCTAGCGTCATCTTGCCCACACCTAATTTTTTTTTTTTTTAACTTGCTCTTATGGAGTCTTTCCAAAGCAGTTAACCTAGTTTTCCCTGCAATAATAACTCCTTGTTTCACACTTATCAGCTCATGTGCTATTAATTAAATTACATAACTAGAGTAACAGATATAATTGCCACAAAAGGGTTTCGGAACAAACATGCCTGCTTCTTGGTGCCTGGGAGCAGCTGTGTACCCACCAGCTGCGAGTGTCTTGTGCCCTAGGTGACCCACAGCAGACAGGCTCTCAAGGTGCTTAGGAGGGGCAGGAGCCGGTGGGAGCCCGGGGTACCTAGCTAGTCCAGCTAGCTGCATTACTAGTGTCTACTGCATGAAGGGCAGCCCTCTCATTATTCACCTCCTGGAGAGGCCCCATGCAGATCCACCCATGAGAAGTGAAGCGATCGATTTATGGCTTGGCCTCATTGGCCTTGGACAAGGCTGCATCCCAAAAGTAGGCTGGACTGAAAATATTCACAATTTTCCAAAAATTCAAAAAACATAGAACTTGTTTTCCTCCTGCGGGTAAACAGAACTCTCCTGCCTGCTTTCATGTAGGAAGTAGTTGATTTACATTCCTGAATCACAGGATCATAGAGAAAGATGGAATCTCTTTCCTTAGCAGTAGAAACGGCGTTTTTGGAGACCTCCAAGCCAGGAATTAAAATTTGACTTTTGCTTTGGCGCCACCAAGTGGTTAGTTGTGAGATACCACTCTCGAAGAGAAGGCTGATTAAACACAACGATCGCAAGAAATCTGGATGAATAGCCAGGTAGAGCACAGAGGATTTTTAGGACAGTGAAACTATTTTGTTTGACATTACAATAGCACGTACATATCTTTATTTTTTGTCCAAACTCACGGAATGTGCACATTAAGAATGAACCCTAACCTAGGCTATTTTGAACTCTAAGTGATGCTGTGTCAGGGCAGGTTTGTAGATTGTAACAGTGTGTCACTGTGGTGGGGGCTGCAAAAGGGGGAGGCTCTGCATATGCGTGGGTAGGGCGTGTATGGGAAACCTCTGTACTTTCTCCTCACTTTTGCTGTAAACCTGAACCCGCTTTAAAACATAAAGCTTATTAATTAAAAAAACCTATTCTATATACATTTCCCCTTTGAGCAACTGGTGCTGCAGGAAGGAGCAAAGTAAGATAGAGACGTCCTCTAGGGAGGCTGGCTGACTTCCCTTCAGGAAGCTCCCACATTCCAGAGTCTGGGCCCTTAGCTTTGTAAATTCCAGGAAACTTTTTCAGCGTATCCGGAGTTGTTCAGTTTTCCAGGGTTATATCACGCTCACCAAACTTGTAAGAGACTCAGTGCTAAGTCAGAATGCCAGCGTATCACTTTACACCTGGAAATGTGTAAGTAGTGGTGGACCAAAGCACATTATCCAGCAGCTCATTTCCCATCCACCAGGAAATTTATATGGGAAGACATATTATACTGATAGGTCCTTTGGTGAAATCTCTGGGGTGGAGTATATGTGGTAAGGGGAGTGGGGAGTATAAGACTCTTCATCTTGGAGGTTAGTGTTGTTAAGTTGACACTGTCTGGATCAGTATAGGTCTATATACAACTCAGCTGAGAACACTCACGTTGCTGGGTGGTACAGAATCCGGGACAGTGCAAATGACAGACTGACCTTGCCTGTTTCTTTGGGCCCTCTTTTGGAAAGTCCATGCTGGGCATCTTGCTTCTATTAATCCGTTTTCGTCAGACAGGGCACAATGTAACTGGTAAGACCATCGCTGTAGACTTGATGATGCAGCCCTGGTCTCCTGAGAACCTGGTCACCGTGATTAGCATTAGCATCAGCAGTCGCCATTTATAGGTTTTGCTTAGGGGATCTGCTCTACTTACCTCACGATCATTTTTAATGCTTTCATTCTCAGAGGAAAACTTATGTTTTTGGCAATTCTGTCCCTGAATGCAGGTTAGAATTAATATGTAAGATCCTTAATCACTTTGGAGTAGATTCTCAATAGCAAAAGAGTACTTTCTGAGGGTGGGAATTATTCTAAGGTTCTGAGTCAGTACACATGCATTCGTGCAGGCCCACCGGGTGTCTTGTGTCTTGTGTCTTGTGAGCTTGAACGGCCCTCACCACCTACTTGTATTTACCAGCCTATGCTGTGATTCCTCACTGGAGCTCAGTGGTCTCCAGGTCTTGGTGCACCATCTCCCCACTCCTACCTCTCTTCTTGCCCCCACCTGCTCTCACGTACAGTCCTCCGTCAAGGAGACTTGGACAGAATTTGCAGAGGTTCTAAATTGGTGGACTGTCATTGGGATTTGACCCACAGATCTCTTTTATTTTTGCCAAAATGTTTTTAAAAGTTTGACGCAATTGCCGGAACTTAAACATCAGGAGATTCATGAAAAACCCCGAGTATTCAGTTTCTTTGCAAACAGGTCGATCTGGCTAGGCAGGGCCTGTTGATACATTCTCGCAGGGGATACATTACTAGAGTGACCTGGGTAGGGCATGCCCTTTCTGCTTATCCTGAGCTCCCAGCCTACCCTTTCACTCATGCATGTAACTGCTTGGTATTGGGGGCAACTCTTCGTGAGCTGGAAAATTAAAACCAAAAATAAAACACAGACACAAAGCAAGCACAAGGGAAAGAGTGGCTTCCCATGGATTCTTGCTCCCTGGCTCTTGCCTGCCCCCTGAGGGACTGCCTTCCTTGGAACCCATTTCCAGCCCCTTTTTCTTTAGATTCCTGCTTCTCTCATTCTGTCACCGCTGAAATTATCCCTCCTGCTTCCAAGTGGCGGGTGTTGGAGTGTTGAGGAAAGCAGACAGACTTTGGGATCACGGGACTTGAATTTGAATCCCAGCTCTGCTTCTTAGTGAGTTTTTAGTTTCCTTTTCTGTAAAATGAAGGCTACAACTTGCCTCATAGATTGGTATGAGCATTAAATGGGATTTTGTATATAGGGCATCCAGCGGAAGGTAGGTACTCAAATAACTGTTTCTCTGTCCCTCTTTTTAAAAAACTTTATGCTGATACGGTTCTTTCTCTTCTTCACATCCTTGAAGAAGTCCAGCTGAACTTTGCCTTTGCTTTCCCGCCATGTACACCTCTTTACCTCATAGTAAAACCAACTATTTTATTTTTTAATTTCTTATAACTTCCAGTATTTCCTATCTGTACATTTCAAATATTTCTCTTTTCCTTCTGTAGCCGGATCTCTCACAGAGACTCCTGTGAGAATAATGAATGACAGGTGAATTTGTTTTGGGAAATTCTCTAAGCAGCAATATTTTTTATAAAATCTCTATAATAACGGTATATAGTTTTGTGATAGAAGCTACCATAACTTTTACAGCAGTCTGTCAGAATTTTTTCTGAATATATACACCTTTCTCTCCCCATCTATTGCATCTTTATAGAAATAGAGCCAAGATCAAAAGCTGGAAACTCTTCAAAAGAGAAAATTGGTACAGGAAGGGAGACACTTCGCCTGAGATCAAAAGGTCCTGCCACTGTGGAAGAAATGGTATGTTATGTTCAGTTAGTCTCCATTTTGTTTGGACATGTATGGATATTTATGGTTATTGGAGCTGGGAAGAAAGGTAAAACCGTGAGGTCAAATTAGATGCATTCTAATTAAAGCACGGACTTTTCATTCATTGCCCACTTAATCAATATGAAAATTATTGAAGGATTTAGGAAGGAACTACAGAATCTAAGTGCATGAGCAGAGACTGTGATCTATAGCAATCCTCACCTACCTGCAGACAACTTTTTCTGGAGTCTGTACACATCTGGGCTGGCTCAAAAATGTTCAAGATACCACCAAAGATCTAAGAACCGAGAAAAAGTCTCAGAGCCACTTGTAGGAGTAAACATACTTAAGATTTTGATAATGAAAGATACTATTCACAAATTCCAGTCTCCTCAGGTGAAACATCTTGTAGTCAGTCATCTTTGATCGTCCCCCGACAAGTCCCACACCCCTTCCATCAGCAAATCCCGGCGGGTCTGCCTCCACAGCCGGCGGGGATGCAAAGGGACTCCCCACCTCTGCCCCCACCACTCTGGCCCGAGGCATCCATGCCTTCTCTTGAGCACTGCAATTGCCTAGCCAGTCTCCCTGCGTTCACCCTGGCTCTCTTTTCCTCTGGGCTCAGCACAGCGGCCAGAATTATCATTCAGAAACATCAATGACGTTATGTTACTTTTCTGTTCAAAACCGTCCAGTAGCTTCCCATGTCACTGTGAATCAAAGTGGAAGTCCTCTGGATGACTGAGAAAATCTGACGCTGCATTTCCCCTCTGACCTCTTTTCCCAGCTTCCTCTGGGTCCGCCCCATGGGTCTCCCTGCTGTCCCTCAGGGGTCCCGATGTAGGCCCCCACAGGGTTTCTGTACTGCTGTTTCCGCTCCCTGGATGCTTAGCGCATTTATGGGCGAGGCTCCCTCTCTTGCTTTCTTCAAAAGGTGCCCACACGTCACCTTCTCTAAAAGGATGCCTCTGAGTATCTTGTATAAATAGCTATTTCTGCTGCCCCTCTCAATGTCCAATCGCCCTTACCCTTAATTTTCTTCAAAGCACTAAACACAATACAGCTCCTTATATCCCTGTTTCCCTTTTGTCTATTGGCTATCTCCTTTGCTCACGCCATTTTTAAAAATTTATGTTTTTATTTTATTTTTTCCATCACCATTTCTTCCCCCCGTACTGTCTTCCACCTCCATGCCCCCCCTACTGCAGTCACCACACTGTTGTCTTTGTTCTCGAGTGCTTTCTCTCTTTTTCCTTTTTTTTGCTTAATCCCTCCACCCCCAGCCACACCTCCCCACAGGTCTTGTTCACTGCAGTATCCCCAGCTCCTAGAACAGTACCTGACACATCAAAGGGTCTCAAATGTTTGCTGAATTAATACATCATTCTTTTAAACTTGAGTAAGGGTTTCACATATTGACTGGGTCAGTATTTGAGTGAAAAACACCAGAAGCGGAGGAGACAAATGTCAGAAGGGGGGAAAGGGACAGCAGGAGCGAGGGGCAGGATTCACAAGCCAGGGGTCAGGCCCCTCACGGGCAAGGAAGACGGGGGTGATGCAGTCGTCCTGTGGGCACTGGGGAGATGAGGCAGGCGGTGGAGGCCAGGGCGGTCCTGAAGGCAGGGGCACTGGCCCTGGGCCTGCCTAGTCCCCCTGTGTGTGCCTGTTGTTCTAGGATTCCCCCGGTGTTTGAAGAGCAAAAGTGTGAGACAGGTGAACCGTGAGGAGTCTCTTTCTATACAGCCAATTCCCAGAGGTTGTGGGGTGACCAGGGTCAGAGTCAGCCATGGGGGTGGCTTGATGGAGCAGACACTCAAGGAAAACTGAGGCCAAGGTTGTCCTTTTGAATTTCCTAGTCACCTAGGATGTCAGTTTGGGGGAATCCAGAAGAAGATTTTGAGTGAGAAAAGAATTGATTTGGAGGCAAAGGGCAGCAAAGAGACCAGGGAGTCAAAGTCAGTTTGAAAGTGAGATATGATGAAGTACGTAAAAAGAAAAAATAAACAAATAAATAAATAAATAAATCCAGGGCAATGACTTCTGGTCATTCTGAGTCTTCACCTTTCCTTTGCCTGGCACACTGCCGGGCATATTGCTGAAGGCCAGTAAATGTTTATTGAATGAATGAGAAAACCTGAGTGGAAGGAAGGGATGTATAAGAGGATGGAAAAAACAGTGGGAAGGAGCTGGCAGTAAGGAGCTAGGGAGTGAGGCTGTCAGAAAAGGACAGGCCCTAAGGCAGCTGCAAAGGTAGCAGGGGTGGCAGGGAAAACTCCATATCACTTCAGGAGAAGTGTCATCTAATAGTTAACATGGTTCATAAATATTTTTTGAGCACCTGCTATGTATAAGCTGCTGGAATGAAAAGGGTAGCTGAAGATCTCTCTGGGGAGATAGGGAAGATGCATTTGGAGATAAACATCTAAAACTCCACTCCTATTTGCATAGCCTGTTTCATTAAATAGGGCAATTAAAATAGCTCCTAATGGAAGGAAAGAGCTAATTTAGTACTAATATTAAATTTGATACAAATGACTTAACAATCAATTTCAAACACTGAAGCATTTACAGATCTAAACAAATCACGCTTTCATAATCCAGCGCAACTTCTGACGTTAATTAGACTTACTGGGATGATGATTTTGTGAATGATACTCCACCTAGGTAGCTCATAATTTATTCAATGTGTGGTCCAGGAGCCAGTGATGCAAAGACAAGAACAAAGACCATGTTTTCTTCTAGAAGGAGAGAGGCGTGGAAAGAAGCTGTTATGAACCAGGGGAAAAGGGTTAATGTCACAAAGCAGGGGCTGATCAGCTGCTGTCAGGGAAAGAGGTGAGGTCAGAGAGAGGTCCCTTCAGAAGAAATGACCGGGTAGGTTAAGGATGGTGAGAAGAATGTTGTAGGCATGAAACAATGACGGGCTTGGGGGCCTCATAAACGTTCATGGGACCAGAGTGTGGGTGCTGGAGGTACGACGTGGTGGGAGTTGGTGAGGCTGGAGGGGAGGCCTGGGTCAGGATGTGAAGGGCCTGTGGACAATGGGCGAGCCATTCGAGATCCGTGAGAGGGGCAGCACCGTTTTGCATTTTCCAAACATTCCTTAGTTCTGGGGGTGGGTTGTTGAGCACAGTGGATTTGAGAAAGTGAAGGTTGTAGACAGGGAGACAAACTAGGAAACCTCTGCAAATAAGAAAAGATGGAGAGTATTATTCAACCATAAAAAAAGAAGGAAATTCTGCCATTTGCGACAGCATGGATGAAACTTGAGGGCATTAGGCTAAGTGAAATAAATCAGACAAAGACAAATGCCATATGATCACACTTACCTGTGGAATCTAAAGAAAACAAAAGAAAACAAAGCGAAACTCATGGTTACAGGGAACAGATTGATGGTTGCAGGAGGCAGGGTGGGGCATAGGCAAAATGGGGAAAGGCAGTCAAAAGGTACAAACTTCCATTTAGAAATACACCCTTGGGATGTAGTGTACAGCATGATGACTGTGGTTCACAATACTGTATGGTATATTTGAAAGTTGCTAAGAGAATGAATCTTAAAAGTTCTCACCACAGGAAAAAAAATGTGTAGCTATGCATAACTATGGATGTTAATTAGACTTATGGTGGTGATGATTTTGCGATACCTATGTATATCACATCAGTAGATTTGTACACCTGAAACTAATGTAATGCTTTGTCAAGTATATTACAATGAAAAAAAAAGATGAGATGTTTTGTCAAGTATATTAAAATTAAAAAAAAAAAAAAAAAAAAAGGAAAGGCGAGCGCTGAACCCAGGCAATCAGAATGTGGATGGAAGAGAGGTGATGAGATCAAGAGCTATTTAGGATAGTAAGAGTGGTGATGATTTATTTGGGAAGTACTGATACTTGTTGCAGAACTTACAAAATGGCTAGATAGAAGCAAAGGTAAACACCCACATTACTTTGCATAGCTTGTTGCTTTCCACAGACCATTCAAAAGACACTGTAAAGAAGGCAAGAGTGACATATTGTATCTGTTATTGTTTTAAAGGCTTAGTAAATGTAAATAAAAACATGAGAAAGTTGTAACAATATCCTCAAGGAAATAAAAATAAAATTTTATTTACATTAAAATGCAAATATTTTAAATAAGTTTTGAGAATACAAAGCAACATACATTTATAACAATATTAGAAGTATGAATCTCTTACAATGTAATTGTGAATTCAATGTTTGTACTTACAGATTTTTAACATCTTTGGGCATTTCTTTTCAGCTATGAAGTCATTTAAAATCAAATTTTGAAATAAATTGAGCATAGGACAAGACTAGCAAATACAAAACTTAGATTTGAAAAGAACAATATAATACAGGGTAGGGCAAAAGTTGGTTTACAGTTGTGAGCATGCAAAACACAGTTTATTCTTGTATTATTATTCATTAATTATTGTATTGTGAACATGAACAATCATAAGCCTACATTTACTCCACCGTGTATATCCAGTCATTTTTTTCACTGAAAAAATTTTAAAATATTGAGTTGTAATGTTATATTATTGAGGTTTCCAATATAATGATTCGATATTTGTGTATATTGTAATTCACTGAAACTTTTAATAATAGTTTTAGAAAGAACAAAAATGTTTTGGTACTATTAATACATCAGACAAAAATGACTTTAAAAATATTTCATCATGATCTTAACCTTAAAAAATTCCATTTTCTGTATTTTTATAACGTGCACAATAGATTAATATGGTAATACATGTGTATAATTTATAAAAATTGCATGTAATAAAATTAAGTAAAAAATAACCAATAAGGTTATGCGTTCAGAAATGTTTTAGTCTGGGGTGAGCCAGTAAAAGGTTTGGAGACTTGGCCTGCAGGGTAAAGACCAGCGCCCTTTTCATGGCACCCTGGTGCCCTTAAGGTCTCGTTTGTCCTTGACTATGTCTCTCATCACAATGGACTCTTTTCAATCCCCATAACATGCTACAGCCTTTTATCAGCCTCAGTGCCCTCATGTAGACTTTGTGTCTTTACTGCCTTCTTTGTGCTGCTTATCTGACACCAGTTCATCTTTGAAAACACAATTCTTGTTAACTTCTTTCTAAAGTCTTCCATGACCCTTTGAGATTTAAATTTACTTCCTCCATGATGCCTCTGTACCTTAAATATCTTTAAAAATTGTGCTTATTATTGTCACTTAGCCATTTGTTTTCACATCTTCACCCCTTTTAGATCGTTAGCTACTGGGAGACTGTGTTCTTGGCTTTTCTTTGAATCCATAACACTTAACGCTGACACTAAAAATACGTGCTCACTGTATAGATGTGTATTGAGTTGCAGAGCACATTCTAGATATATTTTCATTCAAATTAGCTGAAGTAAACAACCATGAACTAGAAGCTCCATCTCAGATTTTCCTCTATTTATGCCTTGACATTCAAGAAATTTCATACAACTATAATATCTTCTCTTTTCTTTGATAAAGCCCTCTGAAACCAATGCCAAGGCAATTGAAAAGGTTGATGATCTTCTTGAATTGTACATGGGAATTCGAGATACTGATTTAGGTAAGATTGTACTATTTTAAAAAGTCTTATATATATTTAATTTGACGGAACTTAATGCTCATTTATGTCTTTCTTGCATTTATAGTCAGTGATACTTTTCAAGATAAAAAATATTGTACAGTGATGAAAAGCATAATGAAAAAATAAAGATAATACAGAATAATGAAAAGGCAACCTGGCCCTTACCACTTACTGGCTGTGAAGGCTTAGAGCCAAGTCAACCCTTCTAAACTTCTGTTTTTCACCTATTAACTCTAATGATATTTTTTCCTAGGCTTGTTTTATGGATTTAAAAATATATATGAAAAGAATTTTATAAATGATACATATAAAAGGTATTATTTGATATATTAGCTGTATATCAATTAAATTGTGTATATTATATTATCATATTTTGCCATGTATAATGCACACTTTTTTGCCCAAATTTTTGAGGGAAAAATAAGGCTGCTCATTTTACATGGGTAGTGCCTGAAATACCTTATGTCTGTTCTTGTGTTTTGTAATTATTTGTTACGTAAAGTTTCTTGTACCATAATATGTTCAAAAATAAATGCTGAAATTCCCTTATATTACAAAAAACAAGTATCTATAAATAAATTAAAAATTGAATTTAAATATTAAAACCAAAGATTTTTTTTACTGAAAGTTTGGGCCAAAAACATGAGTGTACATCATACATGGGCATGTGTTATACCCAGCAAAATGTGGTATCTTAAATTTGTACACATTCATAAGGTTAATGAAACCCTGTGATAAATGAATCAGGATTATGAAGAAAAAGGACACACCTGGTATATGATTGTTAAGGGCAGTTGAACAGTGAATTTCTGTGTATTTCTTATGAAACCATTAGGATGGCAGAATCTTGATTTATCAATTAAGACTATCAGTTATAAGTAACAAAACAACAAAAACAAGAAAAAACTGAACTCCAAATGACTTAAGGGGGGAAAAAGCGGGGGAAATGTGTTGGTTCTTATACCTGAAAAGTCCAAAGGTAGATCCTGGCTTCTAGAATGACTAGCTCTGAAATTCTCATGCTATCACGTGATTTCATTCCTGATGTTTGGATTTTATCCTGATGAGATTTCTCTTCTTAACAACTGGTTTCATTCCACATTATTGGCAGCTTCGGGCCCTCCTTCATGGAGTCAAAATCACTGATGGTCCACCCTCTTCATCTTGGTGTCTAACACAATAGGAAAGAGGCAGGGACTTTGCCTAGTCATTCAAACAAAATGCCCAGGATTATCTCTGATCGAGCTGATTTGTTCACTTGAACCCATCACTGAGGTTGGGAGGGATGGTTAGGTCTAAGTCCAACCTCTTGAGTTGAGAGTGATTTCTGAAATATGAGAGCTGAGATTGTACAAGCTGCTGACCTCTTCTATAAAGGAAGAAAGATGAATATTCCCTGGGTAACGAAAGAGTAAATGTGCACTTAGTGGTGGAGTTTGTGCCCGTATGCCTCCTTGTGTGTGTGCTTGGGTTTGTGTTGTATCAGGTACTTAATTAATTTCTCGAAGTCAAAGACTTGGACAATTTTGTTTACTTGCTACCAGGTAAAGTATTTTAATTAACCTCAGGTAGAATATTGAAGCTCATTCTTCCTTTTCTACTTCTGCTTGTCTTCCTTTTTCCTTAGAGAATTTATACTTATTTTTTTCTTGCCTTTCTGAACTTTTAAAATAAAATTTCTATGTTAGGTGTACAGATGATATCTATAATTTAAAGAAAGGTGGTACTTGGTTCTAGCTCTTTGAAGATAAATATAAAATTTGCATATAATAGATTCTTGCTCCACACAGATAAGAAGTTAAAGCTGAGATGATACCATAAAAAGCCAGTATCTTAAAACTTTTCTCCCCAAATCTTTTGTATTTGGAAAAATACAGATGTTTGCATAAATGATGTGGGCTGTAACAGTTATAGAAATGCCTACGCAAAAGAGGGTAAAGGAGTTTTAGAATCATCAGTGCTGTTAAACTTAGATTAGGTAGTATTTGTTGGAAAAATAATATGATACTATTTCTACTAAATACAGTTGAATAAATAACTGAATATTATAAGTTCAGGAAGTAGCACGTCAATTGTGGATAAGTTCAAATTTAGGAGAACCATACTTTAAAACATTTTTTATTGAATTTATTGGGGTGACATTGATTAATAAAGTGATATAGGTTTCAAGTGTACAATTCTGTAATATGTCGTCTGTATTCTGTATTCATCATTCCAAGTCCTCTCTTTCCAACACCATTTACCCTCCCTTTACCCATGTCTGCCTCCCCTAACTCCTCTTTCCCTCTTGTAGTCACCATGCTGTTGTCTGTTTCTATGAATTTTTCTTTTTGCTTAATCCCTTCACATTTTTCACCTAGCACCCCAACCACCCTCCCCGCTTATAGCTGTAAATGTGTTTTTTTAAATTTATGAGTCTATTTTGTTTGTTTGTTTATTTTGTTCATTAGATTCCACATATAAGTGAAATCATATGGTATTTGTATTTCTCTGACTGGCTTATTTCACTTAGCACAATGCTCTTCAGGGCCATATGCACTGTCACAAAAGGTAAGATTTCCTTCTTTTTTATGGCCGAGTAACATTCCATTGTGTAAATATACCACAGCTTTTTTATCTACTCATTTACTGTTGGACATTTGGGTGGCTTCCTGATCTTGACGATTGTAAATAATGCTGCAGTGAACATAGGGGTGCCTATATTCTTTTGAATTAGTGTTTCACATTTCTTTGGATAAATTCCTTAGAAGTGGAATCATTGGTCATAAGGCAGTTCCATTTTTAGTTTTTTAAGGTAACTCCATACTGTTTTCCACAGTGGCTACACCGAACTGCGTTCCCACCTGTAGTGCATGAGGGTTCCCTTTTTTCCACATCCTCATCAGCACTTGTTGTTTGTTGATTTTTTTTGATAACAGCCATTCTGACAGGTGTGAGGTGATATCTCATTGTGGTTTTAATTTGCATTTCTCTGATGATTAGTGATGTGGAACATCTTTTAATTTGTCTATTGGCTATCTGTATGTTCTCTATGGAGAAATGTCTATTTAGATCTTTTGCCCATTTTTTAATAAGATTTTTTGTTTTTTTGGTGTTGAGTTGTATTAAGTTTTTATAAACTTTGGATATTAACCTTTTATTAGATATATCACTGGCAAATATGTTCTCCCGTGCAGTGGGTTGTCTTTTCAAGTTAATAATGGTTTTCTTTGCTGTGCAAAAACTTTATTTTGATGTAGTACCATTTGTTTATTTTTTTCTTTTGTTTCTCTTGCCCAAGGAGATATATCAGAAAAAATGTTGCCATGAGAAATGTCTGAGACTTTACTGCCTATGCTTCCTTCTGGGATTTTTATGGTTTGAAGTCTAACATTTAAGCCTTTAATCTATTTTGAGTTTATTCTTGTGCATGGTGTAAAAAGGTGGTCTAGTTTCATTTTCGCATGTGTCTGTCCGATTTTCCCAACACCATTTATTGAAGAGACTGTTTATCCCATTGTAAGTTCTTGCCTGCTTTGTTGAATATTAATTGACCATAAAGGTGTGGGTTTAGTTCTGAGCTCTCTATTTTTTTCCACTGATCTATATGTCTGTTTTTATGCTGGTACCACACTGTTTTGATTACTATGGGCTTGTAGTGTGGTTTGATATCTGTTTTAGTTTGACATAGTTTGGAGAACCAGAGTTTTCAAAGGTGAAAACTTAGAACAGCCCTTAACTTTAAAACTTAATTTTAGATATAGGCCTCATAGTTATTTAACTATAAATTGGGACAAGTTAAGCAAATTAGTTTTGCTCTTTTGTTAATAAAAAGACACAAGTATATAGGGAAGAACATTAGAAAGTGATACAGGCAATTATAAGTGAATTAAGAAACAGTTCTTTAAAAAGCAATTTTCTTTCACTCTGACAAATTCAGGGAACTAAGTGTTCCTCACAAATTCCTTGTAAATTAACTACTAATCCCTTTACAATTAATCATCTGTAGCAAATTCCTCCAATGACATTAAAAGTCATCGTCATTATACACGATTAGCAATATGATCAGTCACCATGGGAGGTAAAGTTTAAAGGAATTTATCATTTGAAGAATGTAACCATTGTTAAATTATGAATTCCTCTTATTCAGATCTGATTAGCATGAAATGTAAATCACGAACATGACACTGCTTCAACAGATGAATTATTTGTATTTCCCATGTTTCTTAGGTTACAGAAATGTTAATTGTTAATGAAAATTACATTGACATCATGTTATTCTGTAGTTGTTAATATAAGTTTATATTAACTAAATAAAATAACTAAAACCAAACACTAACCTCAAAAAAAATCTTTGGGATGTATTTACCATTTGAAAATGGAAAGTAATTCAAATGAGTTTCTGGAGCAAGTAACCCTGAAGATCAAAGTACTCTGGTTGTAAAGTTGTGAACTATGACTTTTCAAATTACGCAGTGCCACAAGGTTGCCTTGGAATGTTACCCATTGGAAAAAAGTAGGTTCTGGAAGATTTTGAGTTAAGACCTTATATAGGATTGACTTAACCTAATGGAAAATTGTATCATATAAGTTTCTTAATGAATATTAAGACATAGCATAAATTGTATAAAGAACTGTAGTATTTTCTAATAATATCAATTTAGGAGTTTGGTGATTATCCTAACAACTTCAGAATTTTTACATTTCTAATTTATAAAGAGATCCAGAAATGTGTAGAAAGGAAATCTAAGTGCTGTTTCTAAGTCACTTTTTTCCTATAAAGTCTTTTTAGCTCTTTTAAAAATATATGATAATGGTATTTTAATATAAATGATGGCTTTTCTTCCTAGGACGATCTTTCTTTTTTCAGTGAATTGAAAACAATAAACATTATAGAAAGTTATCCTTCTCAGATAAAGCCAATAAAGTTTTGGAAATAGATTTTACTTTTAAAAAACTCTATTTGCTGCTTTGACTACATTTGATATTTGACTCATGTG